AGTACCCACAGAATTCCAAGAGAGGGGAAGAAGAGCAGCCCACTAAGATGGGGAAACTAGAGATGGCTGGTGTTGAGGAGCAACAACCAGCCTGTCTCACCAGAGCCCCACTGTTGACAAATGCAACCGAGCCACTGTAAGCAGTGTCCAGGTTGAAGGAGAGATCGATGGCGTAAGGTGTCCGTCGGTGATCGACACAAGCAGACTTTTACGAGGCCGGACGTGGTTAGTCATCGAAAACTACCCGAGACGTTGCAGCAGCTGTGCGGGATAACCGGACACTGCACAATGCTAAAGGGACCAGTGAATATCACCATCAAGCTCGGAGAGGAAGAAGAAACCCTACAGGTTTATGTAGCGGATATAGAAGACTCTTGCATTCTGGGCCTGGACTACCTCCTACCTCGCAAGTGTCAACTGGACCTTGGCTCGATGCATTTGAAAATCAAGGAAAAGTGGGTTTTGCTGAAGACTGTGAAGCATGCAAGTGCTAAGGTTACAGCTAGGCGGACAGTAGTTACACCCCAAGATCAGAGGTGCTGTTGCCATACAAGGTGAACGGTGCCTTGCATACCCGTCTGGGAATGGTGGAGCCCGATGAGCAGTGTGGAGTCGAAGATGGAGTGATGGCGGGGAGAATTTTCGCCGATCCTTCTGCAGAGGAGGTATCTGTAATTGTGGCCAATTTCTCTTTCCGACCAAAGAAGATACAAAAGGGAGTGACCGTTGGACTGTGCCAAGAGGTCAACCAGGAGCAGCAGCCCAAGACCTGCAAGAGGAGCATGGTCAAGCAGAAAAATGGTCAGCTTGACCATTTGCAGGACTTGTTTGCCAGGAGCTACCAGTGCCCGGATAAGGCTCAAGTGATACAACTGGAACAGTTGTTATTAAAGTATATGGACGTCTTGTCTGCAGGGGACTTAGACCTGAGGTGTACAAACCTGGTACAGCATCACATTGACACCGGGGATGACCGCCCGATCAAGCAGCTGCCTTGGAGGATAGCACCAACCAGCTTGTTGCCAGGAAATGGAGAGGGCTCCTAGGGGCGCTGCTGCATGTAGCAGGGCTCCTGGCGCTGCCACCGCCCCTGGGGGCCCCTGCCGCCTGTGCGTGGACTTCTGGGGAGTAGGAGTCCTTCACCGCAACGTCTTTGAGGGTGCGGTAATCCACACGGCACTGCATTGAGCCTCTTTCTTCTTCACTGGGACGATTCCTGACGCCCACGTACTGCTGGACTTTTCGATGAGACCTTGGTGAATAAGTCCCCATACCGCCTTCTCCATTTCCTGGCAACAAGCTGGTTGGTGCTATCCTCCAAGGCAGCTGCTTGATCGGGCGGTCATCCCCGGTGTCAATGTGATGCTGTACCAGGTTTGTACACCTCAGGTCTAAGTCCCCTGCAGACAAGACGTCCATATACTTTAATAACAACTGTTCCAGTTGTATCACTTGAGCCTCATCCGGGCACTGGTAGCTCCTGGCAAACAAGTCCTGCAAATGGTCAAGCTGACCATTTTTCTGCTTGACCATGCTCCTCTTGCAGGTCTTGGGCTGCTGCTCCTGGTTGACCTCTTGGCACAGTCCAACGGTCACTCCCTTTTGTATCTTCTTTGGTCGGAAAGAGAAATTGGCCACAATTACAGATACCTCCTCTGCAGAAGGATCGGCGAAAATTCTCCCCGCCATCACTCCATCTTCGACTCCACACTGCTCATCGGGCTCCACCATTCCCAGACGGGTATGCAAGGCACCGTTCACCTTGTATGGCAACAGCACCTCTGATCTTGGGGTGTAACTACTGTCCGCCTAGCTGTAACCTTAGCACTTGCATGCTTCACAGTCTTCAGCAAAACCCACTTTTCCTTGATTTTCAAATGCATCGAGCCAAGGTCCAGTTGACACTTGCGAGGTAGGAGGTAGTCCAGGCCCAGAATGCAAGAGTCTTCTATATCCGCTACATAAACCTGTAGGGTTTCTTCTTCCTCTCCGAGCTTGATGGTGATATTCACTGGTCCCTTTAGCATTGTGCAGTGTCCGGTTATCCCGCACAGCTGCTGCAACGTCTCGGGTAGTTTTCGATGACTAACCACGTCCGGCCTCGTAAAAGTCTGCTTGTGTCGATCACCGACGGACACCTTACGCCATCGATCTCTCCTTCAACCTGGACACTGCTTACAGTGGCTCGGTTGCATTTGTCAACAGTGGGGCTCTGGTGAGACAGGCTGGTTGTTGCTCCTCAACACCAGCCATCTCTAGTTTCCCCATCTTAGTGGGCTGCTCTTCTTCCCCTCTCTTGGAATTCTGTGGGTACTTAGTCTTGAAATGTCCATCTTCTCCACACATCCAACAACCTCTCTCTCTGCATTGCCTTTCTCTCGCTCCCGCTTGTAACAATCCTCCTGTTTGTGTCCAATCTTCTCACAATACCAACAGGTTCCTTTAAATCTCTGTTACTTGTACTTGACCCTTTCGTGCTTTAAACCCGGAGCTAGACACCGTCCTGATGCTTGGTAAACTTAACATCACATACAATTCAAACTCCAGGGCTTTAGCCAAAGCTTGCTGTAGAGTTAACGGTTGGGACTGCTTCACCTGAATTTTGAGATGTGTGCTGTCCAATGCGTCCACAAACTGGTCCCTCAACAACACGACTAACAGAACAGGAAATGTTCTAGGGTATGCCCTATGAGCCATACTTTCCAGGTCCTGAGCAAGCTGTTGCAGTGTTTCACCTTGATTATGGGTACGAGTACGCAATCTGCCCCTGTAAACCTCATTTTGGTGCTTGGTTCCATACCTTCGTTCCAGGACCTTTACTAGCGACTTGAAACCGATTCGCTCTTCTCCTGTCAACTGGCTGAGAACCTCCATAGCCGCGCCCAGTGTCGAATTTACAAAAGGACCATTTGGGCCATCGCCCTGGTCCCCAAAGATACAAGGGGCCATTTAAAAAAATTAATGTACTGTATTATAAAAATTTCATATTTCACCATAATTCTGTGTACAAAAGCTACGGTGACCCCTGTTACCCATCCAAGCTCAACCTTATATTTTGATATCTGTATCATTATGAAATATGCCAGTTACCGGTACACAAATAATGAAATGTAAACGAACACTGAATGTCTTATTCAATTTAAGTGTCATGGTCGATGATAGTGTGTGGGGTGTGCACCTGAAGAAAGAAAATAAAGGCAACATGGTAGTTGGTGTGTACTACCACATGGTTATAGAAAATTATTGAAACTGTTCTGGGTTGACGAGGTGCTTTTTTTAAATATCTGACAGCAAAAGCCTAGCTAGCTGATTATATATGAGAATTGACTGTGAAATTCGGATATGTCCAAATTGACAATTATCGCCCTAAAATGCGACATTCAGATTTACCCTACGGTCTGTTGCGAAATTCATAAAGTATACCCCTATTCACTCACACACAGGGGAAAGCATGGCTGAACTTATTCTTGTTTTTTTTTTTTGCCTCTCAAGGCATTGACATCGGTATCAGTTAATTTTGGAGGTATTGGTATCTGTGGAAAATGGGCTGATACCAGCTGATACTTTTACCAAACATCTAAAAGTGCAACTACCTGTATTTTAAATTGCAATAATAAGAAAATTAAACAAATTAACAATTAAAAAGTATCATTGTAGTAACTGTACAAACCGACATGGAGATACAGGTACTAATAAAATAAGATCAATACTTTTAGTAAGAGTAAAATTCACATACTGTAATCTTAATAATTTCCTTTTTCAGTGTAGAACTTGACTATTGCTACAAGAATTTGAGAAACAATCAAGTGCAGTAAACCCTTGTTATTTGCAGGTTTGTGATTCACGGTTTTGACTATTCGTGGTAAGCAGAGGGTGACTAGCTTACAAGCCTTCCCTGCAGCACAGCGAATCACCCCCACGCAGCGTCTCCTCTTCCTTGTTTGCGCTCAACCATTGTCTGTGTGAAATGGCCCCTAAAAAGACTGCCTAGTGTCAGTGCTAGTATGTAGTGCTAGTGGAGTGAAACATAAAAGGCAGAAGTCAGTGATGACCTTGACAAAGAAAGTTTTATTATTAGATAATTTAAAAGAGGGGATGAGTGCTGCCACGTGTGGTCAGTTGTTTGGTATAGGTATATACTAGTGCACTTAAGTAGTATAAGTTGCTATTCGTGCCATTCCTTGGAACCTATCCCCCACGAATAACAAGGGTTTACTGTATAATGAATACTGACAACAAGCAAAACTGATAATAAACTTGTAAGACTAAAGAGTCGAGACTCAAGATTAGACAATACAGCTGCTCCTCGACTTACAACCACCCGGACATACGACCGCCTCAGTCGTACCAAAATTTTGTCAAATTACGTATTTTCGAGTCCCGACGTTAGTGTTTGCGCTGTGTAATGACAAAATTTTTGTTTGTAATTCACTTTAAAATGGCTGTCAAACTTAAAAGTGAGAGTTTTGTGGTGCTGAGAAGAAAAAGGGACACCCAGTGCTATTAGCAACAGAACATGTTTTAACAACTAGTGAAGTACTGTATACAGGTAGTTCTGCTATAACGCGATAATTGTGTTCTTGTAAAATATCGTGTTATAGAAAATCGCGTAATAGAAATAACAGGGCTTAAGGAGAAAATAGGGTTAGGTGCAGATTACTACTCAAAATCGAAAAAATTTTAGTAGTTAGCCTAACACAAAGGTTAGCACAGTCTAAATAAATGTTACATTCATATCTAATCGTGAAATCATACAGTATATGTAACACTTTACCTTGAAAAAATATGAATGTAACTTGATGGGGGAGAAGGGTGATTTTGAGGTTGATAACATCGAGCTTCTCTTCAAGTGTTATATCTTTTCTTTTACGATAAATACCGGCTATCATCAGAACGCTTTTTGGAGATATTCTTCTTTACCATATTCACAGTTAATACCACAAAATTGGATAAATAGTAAGCAAAAATCGCGTTATAGCAAACAAGCGTTCGCATTATACAAATATTGTTCCGAATTCATAAATCGCGTTAGAGCAAATTCGCGTTATCAAAACACGCGTTATAGCAGAACTCACTGTATACGTATGTAATGAACAAAGAGCCTAAATTAATAAATTAAATTAACAAAGCAATGATTCACCCCTACCAGTTAGTAGATAGACCTGTCCAGTACGGGTGAGTCTTCTGAATGTTGGGATCCTGTCCAGGTCGCATTCACATGGAAGCTCAGTAGCTTACATAACACTGGACACAAACCTCTGACAATGACATGGAAGAGGCTGAGCAGTTTTTTGTTAACCTCTCTGCAGTTACTGTGAAATTTACAAGTACAGTACATAATTTACAGTTATCCTACCTAATTTAGTAATTAATTAATAATCAGGCCTACTTATTATTTACAAATATTTACTTACCAATCAATTTTGGTAACTCATAGAGCCTACTTTGCAAAAAAATCATCAATATGGTAAATTGCAGCAATTTAACAGAATAAGAAAAAAAAAAAAAATATATATATATATATATATATATATATATATATATATATATATATATATATATATATATATATATATATATATATATATATATATATATATATATATATATATATATATATATATATATATATATATATATATATATATATATATATATATATATATATATATATATATATATATATAGATATACTGTATGAGTGTCAGTATCGGTATTGGCCTGAATTTTGGTATCAGCACATCTCTACTCCTTTAGTTTCTGAGAAGCTACCAACATTTACTGGAAGAACACCTGAGCAACTACAGTTTTATGTGGTACTTCTCCTATTCAAAGTGATTTGATAGAAGTCATCAGTAGCATAATACAAAATTTTTGGTTATTCTTCTGGATGACTGTTCAGACGTAATAAAAAAATCACGATTACTTACTGTACTGTATTATGTGGATTAATCTGGTGAAATCCAAGAAAGATTCAAGGGGTTTATGGATGTAATTGCAGACAGATCTTCTCAACTCTCAAGCATTGTATAAGCATGTCGTACCTATTGTAGAGGATTTTATTTTGCAAGAAAAGCTAGTCCCTCAGACATATGTTGGTGCAGCTGTTATGTTGGGAAACTTGGGAGGACTTCTGGCAAAAGTGAAAGGTGTGATAAACCAGAGCAGCTCTTCAGAATATGCCACTGCCTGACATGTCAGCACCAGACTAATTTCTCTGGGGATACCTTAAGGAGAGAATTTACATGAATAAACCAAGAACAGAGGCTCTTACAAGAGGTATACTTGAGGAAATTTTTTTTTCCAAAAGAATTAAGTGGATGACAGACTTAACAGCCACTGAGCCAAACTAGCTTTGGTGGTTCTTTATTCAGGTCACATTCACTCTTAAACTATTTTGTCATCTCCCCAAATCCTCCACATACCCTGCATCCCACATGGGTACTGTATAGTTTTCAAGTTGGAACCACTCTTCAAACACTGTTGTCTTCCAGTCCCTGTCACTTTACTTTTTCTGTTTAGGTGTTGAAGCTTCTTGTCATCACAAAACCCATGGCAACAGATAGCAAGCAGTTTGGACCAGTGAAAATGGCTAACCCTGAACTGCACAATTTGCTTGGAATTGAGGAACCTAATACAGTAACCCCTAAAATACTTGGCACTAATCATTGCTGAGCAGACATGCACATGGAGCAAAGGAACTTGTATAAAGCCTCACCTCCCAAAAGGAAATTTCAACCACTGGAATGTGATGCAAGTGTTTACTTACAGAAGCCAGTCTTTGTTCAATAATTGTTGTGAATGTCAAGGAAGAACCTTCAACATTTGAAGATTTGTAGATTACTGACAATTAAAATTATTGGAACAAGTCTATACATTTCAGCAGGCTCTCAAAATAGCACAACTTACATCATGATAAATTACTACTTCACTATACAGTATAATCATATATCTCTAAGTAACACAGTACAGTACTACATACTGGATATATATTTGTAAAATATCACTTTATAGATAACTACATGAATCTTCTACAGTGCAAACCTAAATAATAAACTTTGGTTTGAAAAACATGTATATCACAAAATACAATATGATAGTCATATGTCAGAGTTCAAGTGGATCCCATTATCTTGATGTTCCAGTAATGGCAGTGTGGATACAATACACTGAACACCAAGCCTTTGGTTCTAAAGGAGGTTGTGTGGCCAACACTACACTCAACTGCCCTTGCTTCCTTAACTATAAAGTTGTGTATTCATTCACAGCTGGGTGTACTGGGAGTGCCCCTGGTGCAAACCAGTAACCTTTAGGACATGTGGCAGGAGCTGCATTCACTCAGTGTCGAATCCCAAGTACCAAAGTGAATATGAGAGTGCGTTCCATAGACCTGCCACCTCATTATGGGTAGTGCAGATCCAGCACACGGTAGACTAAGCCTTTTTTTGGTCCATGGCTGGCACTACACTTAACCACCACCTTCATTCCTTCAACTGTAGACTGGGAATTTTATGTAAACTGACTACCAAAGATATCTTACATTTATAGTGATATCAAGCATAAAATCTGTTCTCTTGTAAAAAAAAAAAATCAATGTAATGTTAGTGATAGCAGCCATACATTCAATATTATTTAATATAAAAATAAGTTATTCTTGATTTCATAAAGCTAGTCTTTTAATAAAAAAATTACTCAACTAAAGGAATGCTTAAGTGGTCACACTTTTGTGGTTTTAACAGCAATAGAAGTTTAATAGCCTAATGTTTCTTAATACAGCACTGAATTAAAAAAAAACGAGGGCTTCTATAAACCAGTACAGAAAGTTAGGAAATGTTGATTACCAAACTAAGCTTAAATACTCTTGACATGAAGCCGTATCCCAAAATTCCTTTTGATCCACAAAGCCTCTCTCAATTTAGTGAATGGACATTAAATCACTTCAAATGGATGAACAAGGCTGGAGGCAGGGAAGAAGTGCTTTCTTCACATGAAAATAAATATAGAGTTCTTTATTTTCAGCTTGAAAAAATTTAATAACCTTTTCTTGCAAGCAAATAATTTTTTTTCTACAAGAAGCAAATAAAGAGCTCATGCGACTGTAATGTTAGAATAACAAGAGTATCTTATATGAGTATCATACTGTGAATTCTCTCCACTTCAAGGCACTTTACAGGATAAATACTTCAAATCTACAAAAATACATAAAATTATACTTACCGTAACTCAATAATAAATACAAAGTTTGGAAAATCTGAAAAATTAATTAACAATAAGTTGATCAGTTGACCTACGGCACTTGCGACTGGCTATCACTACACATCCAATCAGAAACATCAATGCTGGGATGCTTAGACCTAGGGTTATGACAAGGATCACCATCGTGGAGAAAGTTTCCTTTGGTGGCGATCCATGTCCAAAGCCAACAGTCCTGAAAAATATCCATAATCTAAGGAAAAAGAATACAGTATACTGTACAGTATTTATTTCCTAATAATCCAAAATAAAATATAATCAATAATGCTGACCAGAAATATGTCCAATGAACTTTAATATCCTCCAGCGGAGAACCAAGAGAAAGTAAATTTTCATTTCAATATGATGCATATTTGTTTTAATGTGAGTAAACAATGGTCAGCCCCTACTCAGGGTTAGTAAAATCTTGAGACTGGTATAACTAGTCAACCACTCATGCAAATCTCAATGTTACAGTCAGAAGCAGTAATTGCTACTCCCCTCCTAGTAGCCGGAGCCACAGCCAGTGAATGCCGATGTTGACACAATGCAGCATTGGCAGCCAAGATAATTCCTAACTACCTAGCAACATTTGGACAGGGGAGGAAGGGAAGGAGAAAGGTTTGTCTAATCGCCAGGCCTTCATTTACCATGGTTCTGGCTACTAGAGGGGGTAGCAATTGCTGCTTCTGACTAGACAGTACATTAAAGCACCATATATCTGTCTTTTTAATAAAATAATCTATTTTAAGAAAGATTTAAGGGCCATATTTTATGGGATATAACATGCACTTCCCCCCCCCCCTCAACTCATTTCAGCAGGGAATATTGTGTGCATTTCACACATTGTGAAGAAAATTATGTGTATCTACCCAAAATTACGAGTTGGAAAATAACCATAACATACTATTGCTCAGCTTCGCCTGGAGTGATAAGGAGGGCTAGGCAGATGTGGCTATAGTGACTAGTCTTGTGTTATTATTACAAATACAAAACTAATATAAAACACTGTACAGGTTGCACCTTGATTTAATGGCATCAATAGGACCTGGACCATGCCATTAAATCCAATTTGTCGTTAAAGCACTGACGAAACCACTTGATTAAGCTACCAAGATTATCATATTTGTCATAAGATTTTAGGTTAGAAATGATAAATGTTTCAAAGATGGTGTTGATATTTCTATGGAGTAGGTTTTTTGTAATAAAAACTAATAAATTTTAGCAATTTTTTTCCTCTTCATATAATTCATGTCTGAGTATGGAAATAAACACATAAAAATGTACTTCCCATGAAAAAAGGCTTTTGGCAGTGGACCCCTTTTTTAGGCTGAAAATCAAACTGGAAGGGTACGGAATTCGGGGAAATGTCCTAGCATGGATAGAAGACTTTCTACATGACCGCAAGCAGTGTGTGGTGATTAATGGCACGAAATCGTCATCCGTACCTGTCACAAGTGGGGTACCACAGGGCAGTGTATTGGGCCCGCTGTTGTTTGTTTGTTTCATAAATGACATGCCTGACGTTGTACACTCCTCCATACAAATGTTTGCCGATGATGCCAAGTTATTTCGGGAAATCAAGAACCAAGCGGACTGTGAAGAGCTGCAGAAGGACCTGTGGGCTCCAGGAATGGTCAAAGAAATGGCTGCCGAGATTCAATGTCACGAAGTGTAAGAGGATGCACGTGGGGCGTACCAACGGTAAGGAGGCGTATCATATGTCCCAACGGCATGCAGAAACTGCACTAGTTGAGACTGAATGTGAGAAGGACCTAGGTGTGTATGTTGACAATGAGCTGAAGTTCTCGGGCCATTGCAAGAAGAAGGTAAATCAGGCAAATAAATTATTGGGTCTTATAAGGTCGTTCAGATATCTAGACGGTCCGTCCCTCGTAATGATCTTTAAGAGTGAAGTGCTTCCCCCATCTGGAGTACTGTCACCCCATCTGGTCTCCAAGATATGCTAGGGACTGTCAGTTGGTAGAAAATATTCAAAGGAGGGCCACCAGACTGGTGCCTGCAATTCAGAACCTCAGTTACCCTGAGAGATTGGAGCGCCTGAACTTGCCTAGCTTATACTACAGACGGGCAAGGGGTGACCTAGTTGAGGTGTATAAGCATCTCAGGGGGCACTACTCAGTCGAGTGTCCTTACTTGGAGCTGGCGGAAACTCGCCCCACAAGGGGTCACAGCTCAAGATTGAAGAAGCCGCAAGTCCAGAAAACTGTGAGGGCAAACTTTTTCGGAGTGAGGGTTGTAAACTCTTGGAACAATCTACCAGAGAGTGTTGTGACGGCACCGAGTGTGAGCTCTTTCAAGACAAGACTTGACCAACACTGGAGCGGGTTCAGGTACATTCAGGAGCTGGTGCATGCCAAGTACTTGCCAACAGTGCATAACAGAGATGTGACTGATCGCCCAAGAGGCTAACAAGCCAATCATTTGGTGAAGAGGATAAAAGAAAGAGAAAGGTAACAGACGTGACCGATTGCCCAAGCGGCTAACGAGCCGATCAGTGGTGAAGATGATAAATTGTAAAAAAAAAATAAGGGACATAAATTTCTCAGGATATTAGTCTACCCTAGTAAAATTGTTTTCTCTAATACAGAGCAAAAGAGTAAAAATTACTATACTCTAAAGTGGCTTACAAATAAAGAAAATAAAATATAAAACTACCATAAAATAAGAAAACTGAAGTGCATGGGTGCGTATGTGTGGGAAGTGAACATATGTGTGTGGAGGCAGTGAGCACTGAACAGTAACTGCATGTCCGTGTCAGGACACACACAAGTCTCTGAGTCAACTGGTGACCACCCAGCTGATGTGTGTTCAATTTTTTTATTCGTTCGTCTTCTGCTCAGTTTTTGCGCCTTGCCTCGGCTGCCACATAAAATAATCTACGTATTTATAATTACTGAGGAAATTTTTTTTTTCGAAATGTACATACTGTACAGTAATTATAAAGTAAATAATAGTAATAAATAAATGTAACACTGCAAGGTGGGGTGACGAGGTGAGGATAAACCAGGGCATACGGAGACGTATTAAACACTACAATAACATTTATTAAGTTCTGATAAATATGCTACAATATTATTTACTAAGTGTCCAAGACAGATCCTGTGGTAACCACCAGCCCTCTAGGACAGTGTCAACAACAGTGCTTGAGAGATGGCGAGTGCTGGCAACACTATTAGTGAAGAGTGGGTCAGTGTTACCATTTTATAAACAAGAGACTGAAAATATACTACGAAGCAATAGCTCATCTGGGATTGAGTGTGCAAATTTTTTTTTTTTTCTGGGGGGGGGGGCTTAATTATTTTTCAATAATGTTTCATTAAACTGGCACCATTTTCCATAATATTGCAACCTTCTGCAAAATTTTCAGGGAAATTCTTTTCTTCTTTGGGTGGCTAGCAACTCCAGTCAGGTTTTCAGGTCATTTAGAGGACATAATTGATGCAAAGAAAGTAGAAATTTAAGGCGATCACACGAGCACAGCACCAGCTGGATTTTAATGCCAAAATACACTGACCACGGGAGCGTTGCAGAAGGTAAGGACTAGTGGAAATTACGGGCAGGCCTTAAAAAAGATAAACAAATAATGAAAAAATTTTGATCTCTAAATTTTGCCATTAAATGTGAGTTGCCGGTAAATCCAGTGCCGTTAAATCGAGATTCAACCTGTACTGAAAACCGAGTTAAAAAAATAAATAAAAATACAAAAAATAAAGAATAATATCACAGATCCAAAGTAACGGCCTTTATGGAAAGTTGAAAGGCCGTGAAGAAAACTCACAACTCCATGTACCTCCTTTCACAGTATTCATAATCATACTACCGTACCTACCTTTCTTAATGTTATTTAACAACTGTGCTACTTCAAACAAACAAAATTTGTAGAAGATCTAGAATTAAAAATAAATGCAGCTAAACCTAAGGAAGAGCCAAATGAAAGTTTTAAAAAAATGCTATTTGTATATACACTGGCTGCTTCAACTCAACACTTACCATACCACAAAGCCCACCTAGGACAATGTCTTTGCCGACTTCCTAGCAACGCCCCACCCCACACATTCCGCTCCCTACCCCACTCTGCCTGCTAACTGGTGAGCAAAGAAATGTTTATTCCCTTTATGCGTTTGACCTCATAATAATGATGCATGTTGTCCCTACAGTTAACCGCCTCGCGCATCATGACGCAAATCATTGGATAGCACTATTTGCATCGGTGACTACAATTGCGTCATTAAACTATAAAAAAAAAAAAAATCAAGACAATTGCGTCAATATTTTGTGCATCATAGATAACTGCACGAAGTTGCGAAGGAAGCTTCCAGAAAGTACCAAAGCATGGGTGGAGTTCCGCTGTCCAACAGCTTCCTCCTATCAGCCATGCTGGTAAGTCGCATTTATCTCTTTACAGTATTTCCTCTCCCACCCTCTCCACAATTAGTCATATCAAATTTCCAAAGCAATCATTGGAAAGCTCATAAAATTCTGCTTCTATTTAACTACAGTTGTACCCCGCTTTACGCGGTTTCACTTTACGCGATTTCTCATATACGCGGTGCCTTGCCAGAACCGAACTTTCACTTTATGCGGTTCGTCTACCCATATACGTGGGAAGCGGCGCGGGCAGGATGCGCACAAGGTCGCCCGGTCATCAAAACATTACCTAGTTCTTCACCCGCCACCCACCACAGCCGGCCTAAGTCAGTGATAGTGATAGTGAGGATATGGACTTATATGGACTTTGAGGGGTTTGACAAAGAGGCCCTGCAAGCCTATGTGGTGGATAGTGATACAATTGATACAAGTGATACAGGTGAGGGCCAATAATCTGCCCTCTGCCTCGGAACTAACCCCCCATCCCCGTGTGCCCAGCCATCTTTTCTACTAATGTAAGTGTTAAAAAAACTAATATTATTGATATTTCTCTTAATTATTAATTGTGAGTGCATACCATCATAAAATTAAGATGTAATTTTTACTACAACGTAGGTATTGTGTCTGAAAAAGTGGAGTTTGGGGGTCGGGCCAGTCTCTATTGGAATTAATCCCATATGTTCTGTTGTTCCATTTACGCGGATTTCACTTAACGCGGTACCCTGTGGGTTCAATTGACCGCGTAAATCGGGGTACAACTGTATATAATAGCTGAGTAGCTTTGTGAGAACGTAATGTATCAGAGATATGATGCTGGGAATTTTTTTTCTTTATTCGGAACGAAAAAAATACATGTCTTATATTTTTTCTACTTACAGTAAAAGTCCAAAAATCCGGATGCCAGAAATCCGGACCACCCGAGAATCCGGACTTTTCAAAAACGATTTTTTTTTTTTAGCGGGCATTTGTGTGCATGTGCGCATGCGTGAGCGCCACAGCGACAACAAGCGACCACGTGGTCGCCACTTTAAAATGGGCAATCAAACTGACAACATACCGTATATACTCGTCTATAACCCCCCCTCGTTATCAGTCAACCCTGATTTTTTGACCAAGAAATCGTTAATTTATGATATTCCTCGTTTATAGTTCCACCCACGTTTTTGAGGGTAATGGAACAACAAAACCACTAAAAAAGCTCTACGTCCTATAAACTGAGGCTCGCCGTGCATGAAACACAAGTGCTGAAGGCAAATTGTTTACCATTTATTATTACGACACTTTACACTGAAACCCGAGTAGTTTCAACAAAAATATTGTGTATTTCCATTCAAGTATTTATTCAAGTCAATTAGGAGGGAATATTATTGAAATACAACAGTTTTTAAACTAAACCATTCGAAAAACGATTACGGTAACATCTTTTGAACGAAAGAAAGCGAAAGTCATTGTTTTCGTCATGATTTTATCCCACTTTCCACTGTAATACGTATGTAATTTCAGGAAAAATATTACATTTCCGTGAATGTATTATATCAAGCACAGTATGAATAGAATATCATTGTAATATATCAGAATTTTAACCGAAAACTATTAAAAAAACGAGTAACATCTCAAGAACATCGGAAGCTTAGGTAAAGTCTTTTGTTTTCGTCATGTATTTTATCCTATTTTACATTGAAATACGTCACGTTTCCACAAAACTACTATTTATCTCCGAGAATATATTCATTCAGGCGCAGTTTAGGTAAAATAGACGAGTGATGTAATAGTTTTTTAACTGAAAACGATTCGAAAAACACGTACCCTCTAGCCCTGTTCAAAGAGAGGACTGGGAGAAGCTGTTTGGTGCTGCAGACGATGACAAGGAAAATGATTTTGATGGATTTTAATGAAAATATTCAGAAATATGGTATCGTAGTATTTATTCAAGTCAATTAGGATAGAATATTATTGTAATACAAAAGTTTTTGAACTGAAAACCATTCGAAAAGCGATTACGGTAACATCTTTTGAACCAAAGAAAGCGAAAGTCATTGTTTTCATCACGATTTTATCACTTTCCACTGTAATACGTACGTTCAGCAAAAATATTACATTTCCGTGAATGCATTATATCAAGCACAGTATGAATAGAATACCATTGTAATATAACAATATTTTGAGTCCTACTCTTTCCATTTACAGAGTACTGTACAAGCCCATAAAAATGGCTCCTAAAGTAGATAAACTTCGTTGTGTGAAGAGAAAGAAGAACACATTGAAATTGAGTGACAAACTTGAAATAATTAAGAAACTAGATCGTGGTGTGAGCAATACTGTTCTAATGGAAACATACGACATTGGAAAGTCTACAATTTAGGATATATAAAAGGCAAAGAATAAAATTTAGAATTCACAGCTTTTTCATTAAAACTGCTCGTTTTGATAAATGAAGCATGCTATATTTGCAAATGAATAAACTATCAAAATGTACCTGTTCATTTCTTCTTTATTCTTCATTAAATTTGAATTTTAAAAGTACTGCCTGAGAATCCGGAAAATCCGGACCGACCCAATCCCCAAGCAGTCCGGATTTTTGGACTTCTACTGTATATCAAAGCCCAAACAATAATGAAGCCAGTGATGCATAAATCATTCAAAAAGAAAAATATTGTGGGATAAATTGGTTGCACAAATATGATGACCAGACCTCATGTGAATTGGTCTCATATGACCTTCATTGTGGTCACTTATTGCATGCACGAGAGGGTAAACTTACACTGATGAGAGCTGATATTTAAGGATTAAGCTCTTAGTTTTTTAACAAACAAATTATAACTTTCTTACCATGTGGTGTAGTTATTTGCAGCATAAAATTTGTCCTTCTTCTGGCCAAAAGAAACTTTTGTCTGGGCAGTCATTGCTGATTCCAATTTATCCCCAAACACTGCATAGGCCAAAGACTCTTCCAGGGCAATAGAGATTTCCGTCAGTGAAGTAAAGTTGCCATCAATGTTTGGGTCAGTGGACAAGTTAATATCCCGGTCTGAACTAAGGTAACTCACAGGCCGCCACTGCATGTAACCTCCCTGCTTAGTCGTTCGTGCCAATTTTGTGGTTATCTGGTCCAGCTGTAAAATAATTATACAGTACCTATTAGATTTCCTTTTCTCCCAATTTTGTGTGGCATGGAAGGAGGAGGAGGAGGAGGAGGAGGGGGAGGAGAGGGAGGAGATGGAAATACTTTCTCATATCCTCAACCTGAATGTAAATGACAAACGCAATATAACCTAAGAAATCCAGCACTTTTGGGACTGACAACATGCTGGAATTGTGAATTTTTCACTTTTCCAAATACATGTAAGCATTTTTGTGTTGAAATTCATAAGGCAAATTACAGTTCAGTTTAGTGGCGCGCAGCTTCTAAGTAGAATTCCCTTACAAAACTCCAAACAATTTTCATAATTACTTAGAAGAAACAATTTACCTTGCCAAAATAATATGCTGAACAGTGAGTATGTAGAAAAAACAAGGTGAAACAGGCAAAATACAATTGACACAGTCTGGTACATAAAGTGAGCATAAACCA